CCTCTGTCTCAGTATACATACAGACCTCTCTTCTCTCAGTATACATACAGACTCAAACAGCACTCAAAGACAGTATGTAGAAGCCTAGAGCTCAGTGATTACATGATCCACAGAAGTACTCGCAGATGTACTGTACGTAAAGTGCCGTGGCTTTTATGCCCAGAGGTCTCAGTATACATGTAGACTGAGGACGAGTGAAAAGCAAAAGAACGACACATCCAGCCGACTAAACCATCTCTCTCTCTCCACTGACGACATTTATTGCAATGAATCAAATCTTAACATGTAAATCAATAGGAGCTAAACTTCCTCCATTAGCACTTCTCTATCGAGCTAGCGGGTTAGCATTGTCCACTTGTACACAGCCCACGGTCAGGATACAGAGACACGACATATAGTTTCAGATCAATAACGAGGTTTTAAACATTCTAAATATTTACTAATGAGCTTTCTGTCGTCTTTAAGTCGTTTGAAAACAACTCAATGTTCAGTAACTCTTTGTTTTTTCCCCAAACGGCGATAATTTACGATTCCCTTTGTTCTGCCGGCGCCGCCGCCGAGTCTCGGTGGGACCCTCACTGCACAAATATTACTTCTGTACATGTTTGATGAAGGAGGAGCCGCGTTAATGAAAGAAATAAGAAGCACATTGTGAGATTTGTCTGTTTATACAAGTGTTTTTCACCCACTGGAAAATGAAGACTGGGTTCTGTGTGAGTGGATTTTGATGTTCTGTGAATGTAGCTTTTAGAAGTTAAAGCTACTGTACCCAACTCTTTTGGTTTCAGAAAGGCACTGTTTGTCCAGAAAGTGTTTGGTTGAAGTAATTGTGAGAGCCAAAGCAGTTAAAGTGCCAAAAGGTGTATAAGTCCCCTTATTGCATTCCTGGGTTGGGGGTGGCAAGCGAGCTGTCAATCACAGCCCAGACCACGCCCAGCTCTGAGCCCCCCTTCTTGTTTATTAAATGGTCTCCACTGGATCACATCTCTGGTCTTCAGTCCTGGGTCTACAGCCTCAGTCCTGGGTCTACAGCCTCAGTCCTGGGTCTACAGCCTCAGTCCTGGATCTACAGTCTCAGTCTCAGATCTACAGCCTCAGTCCTGGGTCTACAGCCTCAGTCCTGGGTCTACAGCCTCAGTCCTGGGTCTATAGCCTCAGTCCTGGATCTACAGTCTCAGTCTCAGATCTACAGCCTCAGTCCTGGGTCTACAGCCTCAGTCCTGGATCTACAACCTCAGTCCTGGATCTACAGCCTCAGTCCTGGATCTACAGCCACAGTCCTGGGTCTACAGTCTCAGTCCTGGATCTACAGTCTCAGTCCTGGGTCTACAGCCTCAGTCCTGGGTCTACAGCCACAGTCCTGGATCTACAGCCTCAGTTCTTTGCTGATGCAGGAGGGTCTAAGGACAGTGTTGATGATCCTGGAAACTTGACATTGAACCACATTTATGGACCGGCTCTGTGTGTTTTATGTGTGTTTGATTCTCTGATCTGTGTTGACTAATTGACAACCTAATGTCCTCTGAGATAACAACAGTTGTGATTTAGGGATGTAAAAGAATACATTTAATTCCATGGCACACACACATTTAAGAATACATTTAATTGATTAAACCCCCACAAATTAATTGATTAAACCACACAAATTATCCCCGGACACAAACACATACAGTAATGTCTTCTTTCATTATTTTGACTTTTAAACGTCCCACTTCTGTCTGCAACAAGCACAACAGATCTGCCTGGATGTGTAAAGGCCACGTATCACAGCGTAAGTAAAAGCAAGTTTAATATTTAATTTCTTGCAATAAAATCTAAAATCCTCTTGTTTTTACTGAGTGTTTCCAGCCGTCTGTCCCCCTGTTCTCAGAGAGGCCAGTAGGAGGCGCTGTTACTCCTCTGGAATCTCTCTGGTCTGGAGTCTTCTGCGCAGCCACTGAATCTCCGTGTATTTGCATTTCAATAAGACATAATATCATAACCTAAACTCGCTCCGTGTTCCAGTAATATGCAATCGTTTATGGAGAGAAGAGTCTGTGGAGCAGGGACCGAGAGGAAATCTGTGGATTACAATGTACTGCAATATTCTCGTTTCCTGTCAAATATATGGACTGTTTGGTTTTTGAAATATTTGCTCAATTCTGAAACCTTAGTTTGCGCTATAGAGAGAGAGAAGAGAGAAAAAAAGAGAGGGGGGGGGGGGGGGGGGGGGGCTGTGTGCGTGTGTGAGAGAGAGACCAGAGAGAGAGAGAGACTGGTGTGTGTGTGTGTGAGAGAGAGACCAGAGAGAGAGAGACTGGTGTGTGTGTGTGAGAGAGAGAGACTGGTGTGTGTGTGTGTGTGAGAGAGAGAGACCAGAGAGAGAGAGACTGGTGTGTGTGTGTGAGAGAGAGAGAGACTGGTGTGTGCATGTGTGAGAGAGAGAGACCAGAGAGAGAGAGACTGGTGTGTGTGTGTGTGTGAGAGAGAGAGAGACCAGAGAGAGAGAGACTGGTGTGTGTGTGAGAGAGAGACCAGAGAGAGAGAGACTGGTGTGTGTGTGAGAGAGAGACCAGAGAGAGAGAGACTGGTGTGTGTGTGAGAGAGAGACCAGAGAGAGAGAGACTGGTGTGTGTGTGTGTGTGTGTGAGAGAGAGACCAGAGAGAGAGAGACTGGTGTGTGTATGTGTGAGAGAAGGAGCTATAAAGAGAAAGAAAGAGAAACCAGAGGGAGAGAGAGAGAGAGATGTGTGTGTGCCATGGAATCTAAGACTAATCTCAAAGGTTTCTCACAATTTTCCACATTTCAGCGAGAGAACCTTAAAAACCTAGTATTTGTTTTGTTTGATTTCCAGACCCTGACTCCTGAATGCACCGGCTCCAGATGGAACCTTCACGTTTGCATGTTCTTCTATCGCCTAACGCGTACGTGGCCGCATGAAGAAATGAACGCAGGGACTTTTGGGAGGATGAAGAAGATGAGGAAGATGAAGAGGATGCTGCGCGTGTAATTTTAGACATATACGGAAACGACAGGGAACAACGCCTCTTTTGGAGACTGATCCTGCAGCGATTACGTTTTTTCCCGCATTCATTTTTTTTGTACAAACTTGATTATTTTTTGAGTGAATAAAATAATATAATCAAGAGAACAGAAGTGTTACCACAAAAAAAACATAATTTAGACTATTTATTTTAGCTTCTGCATTTAAAAGGACACAGGTTTTACACTCGACACATTTGTAAACGCGTCTCATTTAGTCTAATTTATTCCAATACAACGTGAAATATGGATTGAGTAAAGAGGGATATAATAGACTTTGAACAACATGATTGATCCACGAGCGGAAGTTACTTAGAGCCACTGCAGCTCAAGTAGAACAGACACTGCAGATTGTTATGAGGACGATAGGAGTTTATGCGCCGCAGATGTGTTTTCTCACAGCACAGGACATACGCACAACAAGTTCACATTCATGATTGTGTGTGTGTGTGCGAGAGACCACAGAGAGAAAGAGAGACCAGTGTGTGTGTGTGAGAAAGAGGCAGAGAGAGAGAGCGAGAGAGAGAGAGATCAGAGTGTGTGAGACAGAGTATGAGAGAGTGAGACTGTGTGTGTGAGAGAGAGGCCATGTGTGCGTGTGAGAGAAAGAGAGAAACCAGAGCGTATGAGAGAGTGAGATATGAGAGAGAAAGAAAAACTAGAATGAGAATGTATGTGTACCTGTGTGTATGTACCTGTGTGCATGTACCTGTGTGTATGTACCTGTGTGCATGTACCTGTGTGTATGTACCTGTGCATGTACCTGTGTGTATGTACCTGTGTGCCTGTACCTGTGTGCCTGTACCTGTGTGCCTGTACCTGTGTGCCTGTACCTGTGTGTATGTACCTGTGCATGTACCTGTGTGCATGTACCTGTGTGTATGTACCTGTGTGCATGTACCTGTGTGCATGTACCTGTGTGTATGTACCTGTGTGTATGTACCTGTGTGCATGTACCTGTGTGCATCTACCTGTGTGCATGTACCTGTGTGTATGTACCTGTGCATGTACCTGTGTGCATGTACCTGTGTGCATGTACCTGTGTGCATGTACCTGTGTGTATGCACCTGTGTGCATGTACCTGTGTGTATGTACCTGTGTGCATGTACCTGTGTGTATGTGCCTGTGTGCATGTACCTGTGTGCATGTACCTGTGTGTATGTACCTGTGCATGTACCTGTGTGTATGTACCTGTGTGCATGTACCTGTGTGTATGTACCTGTGTGCATGTACCTGTGTGTATGTACCTGTGTGTATGTACCTGTGTGTATGTACCTGTGTGCATGTACCTGTGTGTATGTACCTGTGCATGTACCTGTGTGTATGTACCTTTGTGCATGTACCTGTGTGTAAATAACCTATAACCTCTAACTTTCCCTCTAAACTTTCTCTCATGTTGTACTTATTTCAGCTGTCTTCAATCAGGTCCTCAGCCCCACGGTCCAGTCACGGGCGTCCTCATTGGCTCCTTAATTGTCATTCCAAATATAGCCCCGCCTCCCCCCGTTCTCCCGTCAGCCCCAGTGCCCCCCCCTCCTCCCCCTCCTCCCTCTCTTTCCATCCTGCCCTGTAATCGCTGGGAGCTGCTTCAGTCCTGCATGCTCTCCTCTCCTCTCTGGTCTCTCCGGTCGCGCTCCATCATCCCGGACGCGTGAGAGACAGGCGCGCGCACGGCAGGAACCCAGACCAGGACCGACCGGAGCGCGAGGTCTCGGTGTTTTTTTTGTTTTTTTCCCCGGAAGGATTTAAAAATACGCCAGACTTATGCTGCTTCTGTTCCGCTGCGTTTTTGTTTCTGCAGAGGAGTTTATCACGCACTTTGCTTCAACTTTGACCGGAGGAAAAGTCCCGGAGAGACTGGTTTCTGGATGAAAAACAGCGGAAGGACTTCCACACACTGCGCGTTGGATCCATTTGCCTAATTTTATTCAAACACTACATTTTTTTGGGTATCAACCCCGAGAGGAAATTAAAAAAGCTACACCCCGACATCACATCGCGTCACAATGAGATTATCCCCGGCTTTCTCGCGGTAGTGGAGACCCGTAATTTGGAGACCCAGAGGCAGCGAGTCCTTGCCTGCTTCCAGCCCCCACCGGGAGAGGAGTGTTTTCGGGGGATAGGGAGATGGAGGCTCCGCGGGGGACGCACCTCTGCACCCGGCCGGGACTCGCGCTGCTCCACGGTAAGACAGAACACACACATCCAACTTGTTGCAAAGCGGTTTTGTGAAGTTTAATGCCATGTCTGGGCTCTTGAGGACGTGCGTAACGCTGTGTGTGTCGCTGTTTGTTGCGTGTTGTGGATTTTTCTGGATTTAACGCACGCGCTGCAGTTGGAAGCGAAAGGTTTTGGATTCTCTCAGTCCGCGGTGTTGTTGTATGTGTTTATATCAGTGTTCCCCAACCTTTTTAAGCCATGGCACATCACCAGCTGAAACTGATACTACATTTTTACCTCTACGGTCCGTGCACTTTTGCGTTCAATACATTTTCTATTTTTGAAGGGAAATGGAAAATCCAAAAAGGGCTATTTTGCACTTTCAGGCACACGGCAATAAACAAAAATGACAATTTTGTTTACATTTCAATTGACGCCGAAATGTATGAAATAGTTGATAAAAAAGGTTCATTATTGCATTTTCTAGTTATTAAAATATACATGTCGTAACTCATTGACTGCCACGGACGTATTTGGCTGAGACTGGTGATTTCTGTCAAACTTCTCTCTATTCGACTGAAGATTACAGCAGAACAAAATTAGCTAGATACCGACGTATTTTTGCCGATGAAAGGAGATGGTCCAATCTTTCAGAATTCATATTTTTCATAGTCACAGCACATAATAATCTGTGGGTCTTGAAAGTCAGTGAAATCAGCAAAGACGGCTGGCAGTCAAAGCAATGAAAAAAAGTGCTAAATCGCCTTTTTTTTTATTTTCACAATTCCCTTTAAAAATAGAAAATGTACTGAACGCAAAACTACACGGAGCTCAACTAGCTCAAAAATATCTTTCTAATCTTCTCACATTCTTTTCTGATTGTTCCGACCGTGCAGCTGATAATGATAATAAAGAATTATGAGGCAGCTGTGGCTTCTCCGTAATCACGTTATTCACCCTCATTTCTACTGTAAACTTTCACAGCGGCTCCATGTATCTCATGTACACAGAGTAGAGCAGGGGCGTCGAACATATTTTGACGAAGGCCGAGATTTAAAATGAAAAATTATTAATCAATGTTTTCTTTCTTTCGTATTATTCACCAGTTTTAAGAGTTTTACAGTCCATCATAATTATACTGTACAAATGCACCAATCACATGTTATCATAGAAACACTAATACAGTAGTATCAAAACAAAACAAAATTGCAACTCAATTTAACACCAAATACTGCCCCCGTCCTTTTACTACCACCCCCATGAATACATTATTAACCATTGATTGATTGGATTCATTTCATGTTTATAGGAATCTAATATATGTCAGAGACAGACGTACGTACATTCATAGCTTCACAACAGACATTCTTTTTCCCCTCCCAGCTTAAAAAGAAGTGGGAAGAAGTCAAATTTAATATTAAAATTATGAAATCAATCATTAAATCGTTTGAGCAGTACTTGTCTGCTCAAATAAACAAATAAATAAATAAAATCGTTGAAAATGACATCTCGGTGACCAAAAAACATATCGCTAAGCTTGGCTTCAAAACGCTTTTTATTATTTACATTATCACAGTATTTGGGCAAAATACTATAATGTAAAATACTTTAATTTAAGATGTATAGATCCGTAACAGCGGGAAATGTCAGTGTTGCAACACCAGTTAAACTTTATACTTACAGAATAAAATAAAACAAAATAAAATCTTCATTCTTCAGTCATTTTTATTTTTTTATTTTATTCTGTTATTTATCTTATTTTAATTAAATTGTCTATAATCTTAAACATTAGACTGTTTAATGTCTGCGTCTGATTTCTTTCTGTCTCTGCTGTGATGTGCGACACTGACACTGACTTAAAGGAATATCTGATCTTATGTAAATATCGTAGTGCAGGGGTCTCCAACCTGTGGCCCGGGAGCTACCAGTAGCTGGCCAGCCCTGGACAGGTAGCTCCCCAAAGGATTTAGAATTGAACGCAGGATCCTGAGTGAATGCATTTTGAGCCATTGCATCTATTTTAAGTTTAAATACAGGGTTTTACAGGATTACGGGAGATTTGTGTGTTTTTCCATGTTTTGTTGTAATTATTTAAATTTTTATTATGACTGAAAAAAGGAGTAGCTCTCTGGCTCTTCTGTAGCATTGAAGTAGCTCTCTGGCTCTTCTGTAGCATTGAAGTAGCTCTCTGGCTCTTCTGTAGCATTGAAGTAGCTCTCTGACTCTTCTGTAGCATTGAAGTAGCTCTCTGACTCTTCTGTAGCATTGAAGTAGCTCTCTGGCTCTTCTGTAGCATTGAAGTAGCTCTCTGACTCTTCTGTAGCATTGAAGTAGCTCTCTGACTCTTCTGTAGCATTGAAGTAGCTCTCTGGCTCTTCTGTAGCATTGAAGTAGCTCTCTGACTCTTCTGTAGCATTGAAGTAGCTCTCTGACTCTTCTGTAGCATTGAAGTAGCTCTCTGGCTCTTCTGTAGCATTGAAGTAGCTCTCTGACTCTTCTGTAGCATTGAAGTAGCTCTCTGACTCTTCTGTAGCATTGAAGTAGCTCTCTGGCTCTTCTGTAGCATTGAAGTAGCTCTCTGGCTCTTCTGTAGCATTGAAGTAGCTCTCTGACTCTTCTGTGGCATTGAAGTAGCTCTCTGGCTCTTCTGTAGCATTGAAGTAGCTCATATATATATTTTTATTTTTATTTTTTATTTATTTATTTGTTTCAATTGTAGACAAAAACAACAATATATAGCAAATCTGTGGATACGTCTGTGGATACGTCTGTAGATACGCCTGTAGATACGTCTGTGGATACATCTGTGGATACGTCTGTGGATACGTCTGTAGATTCGTCTGTAGATACGTCTGTAGATACGTTTGTGGATATGTCTGTGGATACGTATTTGGTTATGTCTGTGGATACGCCTGTAGATACGCCTGTAGATACGCCTGTAGATACATTTGTGGATACGTCTGTGGATACGTCTGTAGATATGCCTGTAGATACGTTTGTGTATACATCTGTGTATACATCTGTGGATACGTCTGTAGATACATCTGTGGATACGTCTGGATACGTCTGTAGATACGCCTGTAGATACGTTTGTGTATACATCTGTGGATACGTCTGTGGATACGTCTGTAGATACGCCTGTAGATACGCCTGTAGATACGTCTGTGTATACGTCTGTAGATACTTCTGTCCATTGCTACTTTGACGTTGCTAGCAGGAGCTTAGCAGCCCCCAGAGCTAAGATATAGGCATAAAAATGACAGAAAACGGATCAAAACGTCTAAACTTTCAGATTCTTTCAGCTTCAGTGTATTAATAAACCCAGTGGTGTCTGGGTTCGCGGCCCCTCTCTCCGGCCTCTGACTCTGCTCTGGCTGAACCACACGGGGAGGAGCGGTGGAGGATCCAGGCCGAGCGGCTTCACTGAACTCTAGACAAAGTGAACGTGTCCCGAGAGAGCTGTAACCATGACGACGGGGTTAAAGCTCGGAGACCTGAGTTTCAAAACAGAAAAAGTACAAATAGATGAATGCATTTGTTTTATGCAGCGCTTTTTGGACACAAAAATCACATTGGATTGTTTAAGAAATTATTTTAAAATGATGTTGGAAAAAAATAGCCTGACTCTCTCCAGACCCTTGTAGATCTCTGAGCTTCTCACATGGTCTGGGTCTGAGCTTCTCACATGGTCTGGGTCTGCTTCAAAGTGGATGGATTTCAGAGGGAGGGGCCTTGTAAAACAAATCCTTGTATGTGATTGGATAAACCACTTGTCCGTTATCTTGAATGACTTGTTCCTTCAACCACTCACATCGAAGCATACGACTCCTATGGGTTGCCAAATGCCGGCAAGATTTTCCAGCCCAAAATCCGTGAGAATGACCAAAAAAAAAAAAGAAAAATACTAATTATTTTTGGGCTAAAAACGTAATGTAATCAACTTGGGCTATCATGATTCTGTTTATTGTCTTTCTGTTTATTTTTTACCTACAAGTCTCTTGAAAAAAAGTATGCGGGAAACTACCCAACCTGGCAACCCCGCTGCTTAGTGTTGCAACAGGAACACTGAACGAGTGCTTAAACCACACTTTACACGAACATTTGACTCTTAAAACACACATATAACAACATAGAACCATCAACATCTCGTCTCAAATATCATTAAAAGTGACATCCGTGTCTTAATTCGTTCGTATTTAAACTTTTAAAAAGATTTGCGGTCCGCCATCTTGGATTGCTTCCGCTGCTGTGTCAGTCACGCACGAGAAGGCAGTGCAAACCCGACGTAACACCGGCGATCCTGATTGGTCAATTATTTTCTGATCTGCTGAAGGAATTTGGTATGGCGTCGATCCCAGACCAATGTGGTTCAGCCAAACGCCTCTGGTGGAGCATGGCGGAACTACATGGGTCTGGCAGAGCCAGGCTGCTAGATCCAGGACTGAGGTTGTAGATCCAGGACTGAGACTGTAGATCCAGGACTGAGGCTGTAGACTGAGGCTGTAGACCCAGGACTGAGGCTGTAGACCCAGGACTGAGGCTGTAGATCCAGGACTGAGGCTGTAGACTGAGGCTGTAGACCCAGGACTGAGGCTGTTATATTGAGCTTTCTTCACAACATCACGTGAAAACACTGAAACTTTCCCTTTTTCTAGAGACGTTTTTGTGTAACTTTTTCAGTTTTGCCAAAATCAGTTTATTCTGCGTCTCTGTGTTTGAACGAGCTGACGACACGCACTTTGTTGCTTCCAATTATCTGTAGTTGTTGCCGACTCTGGAGCGTTCTCACCAAAAGGCAGAAGGGACAGACTGGAGCTACAGGCGTTTCGTCATGACAACGGAGAGACACAAAGTGTGACATTCTTGTGACGAAAGGTCAAAAACCACAGGAAACTGGACACAATATTCTCCTCTGTCTGAACACACACACACACACACACACACATATACACACACACACATGCACACATATACACATGCACACATATACACATGCACACACACATATACACACACACATGATGCACACACACACACACACACACACACACACACACACACACACATACACGCACACACATGTACACATGCACACACACACATACACACACACATGCACACACACACACACACATGTACGCACACACACACACACACACACACACACACATACACACACACACATAAACACATATATACACACACACACACACACACACACATGCACACACATACACACACACACATACACGTTTTTGTTACCTGGTGGGTCCCTTTGACAGGGCCGTTCAGAATGGGACCCATAGACATAATCTTTTTTTACTGGGACTACTTTAAGTAATACAAAACAGTCAATAGTCAACTATTTTAAAGGAATTTTATTTTAGATTTTGTTTTCGAATTGCAGTGATTCTATTTTTGACATAGAATTTAATGCCACTCCATGTCCGATGTCTAAGGTCATCTGGTGAGGCATTAATGCAGGCCAGGCAGTGAGACTTCCCAGGGACTTTTCCAGTCTGTATGAAAGGTGTCATGGTCTTCTCCACAGCCTTCACCTCAGATGCAGACCATGGCTTTCTTACACGTTCTAGGGAGAGAAATAAAAATATATTAGCAATATACACTCCCAGGGTTAGGACCAAGCAGCCTGGCTGTAATCCCCCACCTGGTACACTTACCAGAAGGGGCACTGCCACTACCATGGGGTGCATCTGGATGAATGGTTGAAGGTTCTCCGCTTGAAGTTTCTTTTAGCCCGTCCGTTTGTGAGAGGATCTCTACTGCTCTCCCTGTCGCACAGAAAATAAAAATACAAGTGGCCTTTAGGGGAAAAAAATCATACATATTTTAATAATATCAAGAATTACCTTCAGGCTCAATTTGTATCTGGTCGAGGCTCTTTCCTTCGAATTCCGTCACTCTTCCCTGCTCCATGGCCATCAACACTTTGCTGATTTTGGCCAGCTCCAGTGTCCCCTCTGGTAGTCTGTAATATTGCCTGTGGATGCGAATGTCATGGCCGAGGAAGTTGGCAAGTATGTCCATTTCATTCTCTTTCATATTGAGAACTGTAGACATAGTAGCTATGTGCTTTCTAAGTTTGGTTGAGGATAGCATCTCTGGATGCACCGCACCACATTCTTTGGCTACCTGCCGTAGGGAGTCTGATCCCCTGATGTGGGTGTCTGCGCCCGGGCGGGAGAAGAAGTATGGGTTATGGTCAGAGATGGAACAGGCCCTTCTGTTCTCCACCAGCACCTCCATCCAAGCAATCATTTCAGGAGTCAAAAGAACCGGCACTTTCCGACTTCTTTTCCCTTTTAATTTCAATGCGTTGAAAATGCTGACACAGCTTTTTCTCAAGTTGGGACAGTCCCAGAGCAATGTCAGAATGGATCCCAGTCTTACTTCTTAAGGTAAAGGCCGTCAGTGGCATCTTTGAAACCTCACCTTCCCTTCTTCGATTGAAAATGATGACCTCACAAAGAGTCAAAACTGCCAGTTTAGACCAATGCTTAGACGTTGGCTCACTTATTAGGGTTTGCACATATTCAGGTCGACATACCTCAATATGTGCATGCATGGCTCTAACGTCCTCAGTCAGAGGGAGCAGGTCCGGAGTGTTCCACTTGGCTTGCCGGAGGGTCTGTAGGGCAGCAGAAGAAACACAGACGTCCCACCTCTTCTCAAAAAGCAGCCGGCTTCGTTGGAGGTTTTTAATTAAATAGTTCATCAACACAATGCTCCATTTTTGAGTCACATTCAAGAATATCTGCTAGCTTTCTGAGGCTATGGCCGAGTTTGAGGGCCAAGGATGGAGTCTTGTATTGATTTGTTTCCTCATCATATCCAGCCACAGACCTGACTGCATCAATCACATGGTTAAAGTTGGAAGGAATAAAGAAATCCTTAATTGTTTTCAGTTTCCCTGCGGTTTTTGCTTCGTTAATTAACCTACCGACTTCTCTCATTTTCTGCCTAATGTAATCATGCTTAGTCTTATCATGCCCGTGTTTTAAGTACAGGTGCTCTCCGAGTCTCAGAATCCCCTTTTCTGCTTTGACAACACCCGTGACCTCATCCTGATGCATTGCCAAAATTAAAGACCACAGCTTTTTGCTGATGCCCTCCGGTACAGGCTGGGCTAGGGAGCAGAGGGACTGGACCCTACTTCTACCTGGTTTAGCCTGGGCATCTTTCTGTGAAAGCCGGCACCTGGCCACATGCCTCCACAGCGACTTTCGCTTAAGCAATGCCCCACAGTCTATACAGTGCAAAAACTCACTGGATTTAACTGGCGGAATTTGGCTGTTTAGCTGGGACTAAAGTTCCAATGCCGGCCTTTAAAACCTCAAAATTGTGCTCACGGTTTCCACTATTCCTGATCAAATCAAACTGAAGTTTACGTGCTTTAGATTTCACAGGTAGAGCCAATGCTCTGGCTACGTCACTTTCATTTCCATGTTTTCTAGTCAAATGACGGGACATTTTGTGGCAGGACATTGAACAGTAGAGGCAGAAGTGTCTCTTGCTGTAAACCCTGCCCCCATTTTTCTTCTTTTGCAGCTGCATGATAACAATCTTATTTGCCTTTGGTTCGTCACTTTCCGAGTCTTGAAGAAAAGTGTTTTTGATTTTTCTTTTTCCATACTTTTTTACAGGTTTCTTCTTGACAGTTAAATCGTCAGAATCTGAGTCGACTTCATCAATTAGGGACTCTTGACTAAGCTGCACAAACAACAAATAATTTGTAATAATTCTATATAACAATTTGAAGTCATGACTAGTCAGCACTTACCAGTGGGTTGTAAGCGTGCGCTTCAGTGTGCTCCTCCATGATGTCTTGCAGCCTAATGAACCACACACTTGCACCTTTTCACCTGACTTCCTCTGTTGTGCTGCTCCATGATTGGCTCCAGCCTGCTGGACTGAAATTGCCCCAGTGTGCCCCTCCCTGATATCCCGCAACCCACCACCAGGGTTCCGACACATAACACACTTTTTTCAGGAAAGTAAACCTCCAGGGGTCCTTTCCATATTTTTACAGAGACTGCATAAGGACCGTTAGAAAAGCATTACCCATTGATTATTAAGCTTGGACCAGTGGGGTCCGGTGTTCGGGCCCCACCACGTAAAACCAGTCCCCATGACGTGAGTGGAATCTCAGGTTATGGAACCCACTAGGAGTTGAAAACAAGTGCACATACACATTCACGTGCACACACACATACACACACACACACAGACACACAAATATACACACACACACAGACACACAAATATACACACACACACACACACAAATATACATACATATTCACATACACATTATTTTACCAAATTACGTCATATTAGTCATCCCCGTCTCCCCCCTCCTCCCCTTGTCTCTCTTCCTCTCCCCCGTTGTCTCCTTTTCCCTCTCTCTTCTCTTCTGTCTCCCCCTCTGCTTCTTCCCTCCTCCCTCTCTCTCCCCTTCTCTCTCTGCTCCTCCTCTCCCCTCTCTCCCCTCTCTCTCCCCTCCTCCCTCTCCCCCCTCCCTCCTCTAAGCCTGTTCTAACCAGCCCACAGGGAGCAGCCTGGCTCTAAATGCTCTGCTGTTAGAGGCCTGTTAACAGCAGCGTTTGATCAGACTAATGACATTGAAAACTTTCATCTGAAGCAAATTGATTCCGAACCTGATCCGAGCGCACGCGGGAGAAAGGGGGGAGACAGAGAGAGAGAGAGAGAGACGAGAGAGACACAGGGAGAGAGACAAGGAAGAGAGAGAGACAGAGACAAGAGAGAGAGAGAGAGACAAGAGAGAGAGAGAGAGAGAGTGAGGCGCAGGAGAAAGAAGAGAGAAAGCTGTTCTCTCTCTGTTCTTTCTCTCTATAGTCTCTCTCTCTCTGTCTAGTCTCTCTCTCTCTCTGTCTAGTCTCTCTTGCTCTCTCTTTGTCTCTCGCTCTCTCCTCTCTCTGACCCCTGTTCTCTTCCAGTTACTGTACATTCTCAAGACTATGTTCTCAGATCCAAACTCTTCCAAACTCTCCCTCCTCTTCCTCCTCTCCCTCCTCTCCCTCCTCTTCCTCTTCTCCCTCCTCTCCCTCCTCTTCCTCCTCTCCCTCCTCTCCCTCCTCTCACTCCTCTTCCTCCTCCTTCTCTCCCTCCTCTTCCTCTTCTCCCTCTTCTCCCTCCTCTTCCTCCTCTCCCTCCTCTCCCTCCTCTCCCTCCTCTCACTCCTCTTCCTCTCCCTCCTCTCACTCCTCTTCCTCCTCCTTCTCTCCCTCCTCTTCCTCTTCTCCCTCTTCTCCCTCTTCTCCCTCTTCTTCCTCTTCTCCCTCCTCTCCCTCCTCTCACTCCTCTTCCTCCTCCTTCTCTCCCTCCTCTTCCTCTTCTCCCTCCTCTTCCTCCTCTTCCTCCTCTCCCTCCTCTCCCTCCTCTCACTCCTCTTCCTCCTCCTTCTCTCCCTCCTCTTCCTCTTCTCCCTCTTCTCCCTCCTCTTTCTCTTCTCCCTCTTCTCCCTCTTCTCCTTCTCCCTCTTCTTCCTCTTCTTCCTCTTCTCCCTCGTCTCCCTCGTCTCCCTCTTCTCCCTCTTCTTCCTCGTCTCCCTCTTCTCCCTCTTCTTCCTCTTCTCCCTCTTCTCCCTCTTCTTCCTCGTCTCCCTCTTCTCCCTCCTCTTCCTCCTCCTTCTCTCCCTCTTCTCCCTCCTCTTCCTCCACTCCCTCTTCTCCCTCCTCTTCCTCTACTCCCTCCTCTCCCTCCTCTTCCTCTTCTTCCTCCTCTCCCTCCTCTTCTCCTCCTCCTTCTCTCCCTCTTCTCCTTCCTCTTCCTCCTCTCCCTCTTCTCCCTCCTCTTCCTCCTACTCCCTCTTCTCCCTCCTCTTCCTCTTCTCCCTCCTCTTCTTCCGCTCCCTCCTCTGCCTCCTCTCTCTCTTCTCCCTCCTCTTCCTCCTCCTCCTCTCCCTCTCTCCCTCCTTCTTCTCCCTCCTCTCTTCCTCCTCTCCCTCCTCCTCTAACTCCTCTTCCTCCTCCTTCTCTCCCTCTTCTCCCTCCTCTCCCTCCTCTTCCTCCTCTCCCTCCTCTCCCTCTCTTCCTTCTCCCTCTCTTCCTCCTCTCCCTCCTCCCTCCTCTTCCTCCTCCTTCTCTCCCTCCTCTCCCTCCTCTTCCTCCTCTCCCTCTCCCTCTTCCTCCTCTCCCTCCTCTTCCACCTCTCCTCCTCTTCGTCCTCTCCCTCCTCTTCGTCCTCTCCCTCCTCTTCCTCCTCTCCCTCCTCTTCCTCCTCTCCCTCCTCTTCGTCCTCTCCCTCCTCTTCGTCCTCTCCCTCCTCTTCCTCCTCTCCCTCCTCTTCCTCCTCTCCCTCCTCTTCGTCCTCTCCCTCCTCTTCCTCCTCTCCCTCCTCTTCCACCTCTCCCTCCTCTTCGTCCTCTCCCTCCTCTTCGTCCTCTCCCTCCTCTTCCTCCTCTCCCTCCTCTTCCTCCTCTCCCTCCTCTCCCTCCTCTTCCACCTCTCCCTCCTCTTCGTCCTCTCCCTCCTCTTCGTCCTCTCCCTCCTCTTCGTCCTCTCCCTCCTCTTCGTCCTCTCCCTCCTCTTCCTCCTCTCCCTCCTCTTCCACCTCTCCCTCCTCTTCCTCTCCCTCCTCTCCCTCCTCTTCCTCCTGTCCCTCCTCTCCCTCCTCTCCCTGCTCTCCCTCTTCCTCTCCCTCCTCTCCCTCCTCTCCACCTCTCCCTCCTCTTCGTCCTCTCCCTCCTCTCCCTCTCTTCGTCCTCTCCCTCCTCTCCCTCCTCTTCCTCCTGTCCCTCCTCTTCCTCCTCTCCCCTCCTCTCCTTCTTCCTCTTCCTCCTCTCCCTCCTCTCCCTCTTCCTCTTCCTCTCCCTCCTCTCCAACCTTTTCCTCCTCTCCCTCCTCTTCCTCTTCCTCTTCCTCCGCCGCAGGACTTCCCTCAGAGACAGCTCCACGCCGTCGCCGTCATCGAAAACCGCTGTCTCAATAATTCATGTGATCCACCGTTGTTTGGCGGCGGCGGCGGCGGGAGCAGCGTGTTGCCGTGGCGCCCGGGGAGGCTTCCACAAAACACATTTTTAAACTCTCGACAACACTCGGCTTCACTCCTCATTCCGCTCTCTCCCTTCAGCGCAGGACGTGGCTTTGATTCCCGGAGTCCAGCGGGAGGACTTTGATCCGAGCCGGGCCCAGCGCACACCGAGGGCCCGGGGGTGAGGGGGGGGGGGGGGGGGGGGGGGGGGGGGGGGGCTGTTGTTGTAGAGGGCGAGAGAGTACATATGTGTGAGGGTGGGTTTAAAGCTGGAGGCCATGACTTTTTTTTTCTGTGATTCAGGAAATATCAGTGTCAATGTCAGTTTATCAATAGAAAGAGTGTTGTGTCGAGAACTGATTTAGTTCTGCTCCTTCTGGTCTCTCTCCGGTCTCTCTCTGGTCTCTCTCTGGTCTCTCTCCGGTCTCTCTCTGGTCTCTCTCTGGTCTCTCTCTGGTCTCATCTGGTCTCTCTCTGGTCTCTCTCTGGTCTCTCTCTGGTCTCTATCTGGTCTCTCTCTGGTCTCTCTCTGGTCTCTATCTGGTCTCTCTCTGGTCTCTATCTGGTCTCTCTCTGGTCTCTCTCTGGTCTCTTTCTGGTCTCTCTCTGGTCTCTATCTGGTCTCTCTCTGGTCTCTTTCTGGTCTCTCTCTGGTCTCTTTCTGGTCTCTCTCTCAGGTCTCTCTCTGTTCTCTCCCTAGTCCCTCTCTCTGGTCTCTCGCTGGTCTCTCTCTCTGGTCTCTCTCTCTCTGGTCGGTCTCTGGTGTCTCTCTGGTCTCTCTCTGGTCTCTCTCTGGTCTCTCTCTGGTCTCTTTCTGGTCTCTCTCAGGTCTTTCTCTAGTCTCTCTCTGGTGTCTCTCTGGTCTCTCTCTCTTGTCTCTCTCTCTCTGGTCTCTCTCTCTCTGGTCTCTCTCTCTTGTCTCTCTCTCTCTGGTCTCTCTCTCTTGTCTCTCTCTCTCTGGTCTCTCTCTCTTGTCTCTCTTGTACACTACACATATTGTAAAACACTTATACTTCATGAAAATCCCTCAGCTTCCTCTGTGATCTCTCTCTCTTCTCTCTCTCTGCCTTTGTCTCTCTCTCTCTCTCTCTCTCTCTTCAAACCTCTGTATAAATCCTCCTCTTCTTGTCTTTCCCGTGTTGTTTTCCCACTCTCCTTCTGCAACACCTTTCTTCCCTGTGTTCGTGTTTTGACGCTGAAGGCTGGAGTTTGAACATTTGAACATTTTGATGCCATTATTCACGGTCGGAGCGCGGCAACAGCTCGGGAGAAGGGGAACATTAAAGGGCCAAACCGGGCCAAACCGGGGCAAAAAGCAAACAGGGAAACAGAGATGAAAGAAGCTCCCTGTGTGTGGAGGAGAACCAGGAGGAGAACCAGGAGGAGAACCAGAGGGAGAACCAGGAGGAAAACCAGGGGGAGAACCAGGAGGAGAACCAGGAGGAGAACCAGTAGGAGAACCAGGAGGAAAACCAGGGGGAGAACCAGGAGGAGAACCAGGGGGAGAACCAGGGGGAGAACCAGGGGGAGAACCAGGGGGAGAACCAGGGGGAGAACCAGGGGGGAGAACCAGGGGGAGAACCAGGGGGAGAACCAGGGGGAGAACCAGGGGGAGAACCAGGGGGAGAACCAGGAGGAGAACCAGAGGGAGAACCAGGAGGAAAACCAGGGGGAGAACCAGGAGGAGAACCAGGAGGAGAACCAGGAGGAGAACCAGTAGGAGAACCAGGAGGAGAACCAGGGGGAGAACCAGTAGGAGAACCAGGAGGAAAACCAGGGGGAGAACCAGGGGGAGAACCAGGAGGAGAACCAGGGGGAGAACCAGGGGGAGAACCAGGGGGAGAACCAGGGGGAGAACCAGGGGGAGAACCAGGGGGTGAACCAGTTAGGGCAGCCCGGTGGGGGCTTTTTGATTGGGGGCATGTACCACTCTCAATGGGCCACTTTTCACCCTGGCTTTTTAATGCACTACAATAAATAGGGCAATCATTTATAATATAATAAACCTATATATTAAAAAAATAAAAATATAAATACCATACACGTTCTCAAACATAAAATGTATGACAGCGGAGATGGTTGTGACAAAGGTGAAGTAGCCAGACCACAGAATACCAATGAACATGCATTAGTGTGACTAGTGACCATCGGCAAAGAGTGGCATTGGTGATGGGCTTCCTGTAGCACATTGCAGAAACAAGACGACTGATATAGTTGTGCTGTTTTTTTTTTCTCCTTGTTTAGTTTATGATCAAGTCTGATATATAATCCGTACATTTCTCCAGTTTGAACTTTGTAGTAGTAAGTTTTGTTTTATGTCCATTTAATGATAAACTCAAAGAAGATTAATTGTATTAATCCGTAGGTGAATGTTGTTTCTTGATGTTTTGAAGCTTTTCTTCGGATGGCAAATGTAACTATTATTATTTTTTTTCACGTAAGAGTACAGTAAAAATGTTAAAGTACTGTATGGATACAATACTCTAAGACGTACAGTTACTTCTATAAGTTACTCAAGTTCATGTACTTGAGTAAATGTAATTGTTTTTGTTTTGTTTTTCGGAATTATTATTTTGGATACGGACTGATTGTGCAGTATCACCGGGAAATGTAAATGTATATCATAGTGATTACGGGGTAGGCGTATATATAAGCTTCTGGCTTCAGCCTACTCCTTTTCTTTTTGGGAGCGCCTCTAATAGAATGATGTAAATGTGAATGTTAAAATGTAAACGGCTCAAAAAAAAAAAAAAAAAAAAAAAAACAGGAGGAGAACCAGGAGGAGAACCAGGGGGAGAACCAGAAGGAGAACCAGGAGGAGAACCAGAAGGAGAACCAGGAGGAGAACCAGGGGGAGAACCAGGGGGAGAACCAGGAGGAGAACCAGGAGGAGAACCAGGAGGAGAACCAGGGGGAGAACCAGGGGGAGAACCAGGGGGAGAGAACCAGGAGAAGAACCAGGGGGAGAACCAGGGGGAGAACCAGGGGGAGAACCAGGGGGAGAACCAGGAGGAGAACCAGAGGGAGAACCAGAGGGAGAACCAGGGGGAGAACCAGGGGGAGAACCAGAGGGAGAACCAGGGGGAGAACCAGGGGGAGAACCAGGAGGAGAACCAGGAGGAGAACCAGTAGGAGAACCAGGGGGAGAACCAGGGGGAGAACCAGGGGGAGAACCGGGGGGGAGAACCAGGAGGAGAACCAGGAGGAGAACCAGGAGGAGAACCAGGGGGAGAACCAGGGGGAGAACCAGGGGGAGAACCAGGGGGAGAACCAGGGGGAGAACCAGGAGGAGAACCAGGAGGAGAACCAGGAGGAGAACCAGGAGGAGAACCAGAGGGAGAACCAGAGGGAGAACCAGGGGGAGAACCAGGGGGAGAACCAGGAGGAGAACCAGGAGGAGAACCAGTAGGAGAACCAGTAGGAGAACCAGGGGGAGAACCAGGGGGAGAACCAGGAGGAGAACCAGGGGGAGAACCAGGGGGAGAACCAGGGGGAGAACCAGGGGGAGAACCAGGAGGAGAACCAGGAGGAGAACCAGGAGGAGAACCAGTGGGAGAACCAGGGGGAGAACCAGGGGGAGAACCAGGAGGAAAACCAGGGGGAGAACCAGGAGGAGAACCAGGGGGAGAACCAGGGGGAGAACCAGGGGGAGAACCAGGGGAAGAACCAGGAGGAGAACCAGGGGGAGAACCAGGAGGAGAACCAGGAGGAGAACCAGAGGGAGAACCAGAGGGAGAACCAGAGGGAGAACCAGGGGGAGAACCAGGGGGAGAACCAGGGGGAGAACCAGGAGGAGAACCAGGAGGAGAACCAGGAGGAGAACCAGGAGGAGAACCAGGAGGAGAACCAGTAGGAGAACCAGGAGGAGAACCAGGGGGAGAACCAGTAGGAGAACCAGGAGGAGAACCAGGAGGAGAACCAGGAGGAGAATCAGGAGGTTCTCCTCTGGACTTTTACAAAGTCTTCCTGATACTGTCTGTATTGCAATATGTTAAGAATCACATTAATATTGAATTGTGGCCCAAATATTGCAATACTTTCGAACGGTCACATTTGTAGATATCCCAGCCCTTTCTATTCTGCATAATAATCTTTTGAGAGCGTGTGAAACCATTGTCTGTTGTAGGTGGATAAACATAAATTGCCATCACGATAAGGCCAATAGGGAAGTGCTCATGGACAAAGTTCTGGCCAAAGTCAGTGCATGATGCAATTTCCTCAGGTCCTGTGTGTTCTGACTTTACAAGACTTAATTTTTATGTGTGTTTTGACCTGTTCATTCTGACACGCTTCTGTCTTCCCCGGGGCTTGAAGCTGACACGGGTCCAAACAACACGGGAAAAATGGGAATATCCTGATAGCTCAAATATAGAGTCTGAAGCCGACAGCGGAAGAATTGTATCGTGTTTTTAATGTACTGCGTTTATTTATGACTTGAATACCTTGTGTGTGAACTGTGCTATACAATCACACTCGCCTCTTTCCTTTGTGTATTTACTGATGAGGTATTTACTGATGAGGAAGCATCAGGCAGACCCAGACTTCTGCTGTTTACAAAGATCCTTCTCCTCCGTGTTTATCATGCTGCCCTCGGCCACAGCTCTGCCCAACGGAGAGGCCTCTGTACGCGCTGGGCACCGGTCCCAGGGCTCAGGGGGAGGGGAGGGGGAGGAGGGGGGGGGGAGGGGGGGAGGAGAGGGAGAAGGGGAGGATTACCACACCCGGGGGGGAGAAGGGGCCCCCAGACTCCCATTGGATAAGTGCAAGCAAACTGGAAAACACCAGACTTCATGTTAGCAAGTTTTTTTTATCTATACCCATAATGCACTGGGCACATGACAGCAATTATCTCTTATATTAAAGCTGGGGTTCCTCACTTTTGTATGACCTGAAAAAAATAATCTGTCTTTTTCTCTCTCTCTCTCTCTCTGTCTCTCTGTGTATGTACAGTATATCTTTGTGAGTGTGTGTGTATAAATGTTGTTTGTATTTGTGTATATGTATATGTGTGTGGAAAAAACTTGGACATAAGGCGTCTTCTAGGACCTCTGGTAGCCCCAGAATATACAGTAGCACAGGCTCCCAGAAGAGCACCCTCTAGTGTTTTGCAGTATGTACCTGTGTGTGTGTGTGTGTGTGTGTGTGTGTGTGTGTGTGTGTCCAGTCCATAAGCTCCACCCTGACTCTCTCCTCTCGGTCTCCTCTCGCTCTCCTCTCGCTCCAGTGTTTGCAAAGAGCTGAGGAAGCGATTATCGGGCCGTTAACAAAGCTTTTAACGAACTGTCTAATGAAGCTTGAGGGCACCTCTGAGACGCCCCGACACGCCGCCCTCATTACACCCGCAAATAAGTGCTCGTTATGCAAACTACTCCCAGTTAATCTGCATATCTTTACCTGAGACACTGACACATGTTTACCCACCGGCAGCAGACGAGAGAGTCCACAGAGACCTCTCTCCAGCACAATCCTCCAGCACGCATTTTACTTCAGCTTTTTCAAAGATGGGAGACGGAGCAGAACGTTGGTCACCTGGAGGTTATTTACAGTTTATTTCAGAGAGAATACACAGTTAAAAAGAGGTTTCAAAGCTACAATGGACGTCATTTTCAGAGACACAGACACAGAGATTTGGGTGGGTTAGCAATCTCGCTTCTCAATCAGGTCCTGGGCCCGAATCCCGGTCGGAACGGGACCTTTCTGAGTGTAGTTGGCATTTTCTCCAGTGCCTGCTTAAGTTTCCTCCAGGTGCTCCATGTACATGTATAATAGGTCTGGCATGTTCGTCTTGTACTGGCCTCGCTCCCATCTCTGTGTGGAGTGAGAGACGGATGCACTAAAAAATAAATACATTGTAAAGTGCTTTTTTTAAGGCGCAGATTCACATTCAGATTGAGGAGCACAGGGACTGGCTCCTGCTGGGTCTTTGAGGAGCACAGGGACTGGCTCCTGCTGGGACTCTGAGGAGCACAGGGACTGGCCTCCTGCTAGTGCCCAGAGTCAGAACCAAACATGGGGAGGCTGCATTTCAGATTTATGCTGATAAAATTTGGAACAATCTTCCTGAAGATGTGAGACAGGCAATGTCTATATTTTTAATAAACATTGGACTGAGGCTGTAGACCCAGGACTGAGGCTGTAGACCCAGGACTGAGGCTGTAGATCCAGGACTAAGGCTGTAGACCCAGGACTGAGGCTGTAGATCCAGGACTGAGGCTGTAGACCCAGGACTGAGGCTGTAGACCCAGGTCTGAGGCTGTAGACCCAGTTGAGATTTAGGGCAACACAAAAATACATTGAATCGTTTGCTGGGATCGTAACAAAAGCTGCTGCTTGAATTCTTCTGTTACTTTGTTGTGGTTTTTTCAAAAAGTTGGGCGGCCATCTTGGAACTTTTTTTTGTGTTGCTTCCGTGGCTCAGAGAAAGTGGATGAATCTGCAGCAGAGGCGTGATCTGGCTCCGGCGGCGTGATCCGTCAGGACTCTGCAGGAGCTCAGAGGTCACGGCCGCCGCCCTTAGTGTGTTGCCAGGTGAAGGCGGCAACACAATCAACACAACCAATCACAGAGCTCCCTCACGCCTCACCACTTCCACAGGGCACCTCAGTACACACACCAACACTGACAGATACACACACACACACACACACACACACACACACACACACACACACACACACACACACACACACACACACACACACACACACTGACAGATACACACACACACACACACACACTGACAGATACACACACACACACACACACACTGACAGATACACACACACGCACACACACTGACAGATACACACACACACACACACACACACACACACTGACAGATACACACATAGACAAATATACACATACAGATGGACAAAGACACTGATACACACACACACACACACTGACAGATACACACATACACACATAGACAGATATACACACACACACACACACACACACACACACACACACACACACCAAACTTCTCCCTCAGAATCCAGGAACATACGGCCATTTTCCGACCGGTGAATTTCATTTTTTTGGCTTTGGGAAATTAGTCCATTTGTGGAAAACACTTTTGCAGTCGACATATTTCCGGAGTCTCTGGAGTTGCCATGTGGACGCGCGCTCTCAGCTTTTGGCTCGTATAAAAAGCCTGCGTGCCGTTGTGTCTCTGGGGGCCTGGCATCTCTCCACCGAAACTTTACCGACTTTAGATGTGAGTGGGAAGATAAGAAACGGCTCTATCTTACACACACACACACACACATACACACACACACGCACACACACACACAAAACACACACACACACACACACATAGATACACACATATAGACAAATATACACATACAGACAAAGACACTGACACACACACAGATACACACACACAGATACACACACACACACACACACTTGTCTTGGCGCTGGCCCGATGTGCTGCCAAGACAAGTGACACGTTTGGAATGTATTTACTGGACCGATTTGGACTCGAGGTTACGGAGCCACCTGTTCAAAGTGTGACTTCTTTGATTCCAGAGTGTGTAGAGAAAGTTTAATTACAATGAGAGAAGTCCCAGATAATCCACTTTGAAAGGCAAGGCAAGTTTATTTGTAAAGCACAATTCATACACAAGGCAACTCAAAGTGCTGAACAAAACAAGAAAGCATTAAAATCATAAATAATCACAGAACATTAAAAAGAAAGATACAAATATAAAATCCCTCAGTTGTATGCACAGCTAAACAGAACTGTCTTTAACCTGGTTTTAAACATTGTCAGAGAGGAGGCCTGTCTCACATCTTCAGGAAGATTGTTCCAGATTTTAGCAGCATGAATCTGAAAAGCTGCCTCCCCATGTTTAGTTCTGACTCTGGGCACTAACAGGAGTCCAGTCCCTGTGCTCCTTAGAGTCCCAGCAGGAGTCCAGTCCCTGTGCTCCTCAGAGTCCCAGCAGGAGTCCAGTCCCTGTGCTCCTCAGAGTCCGGGCTGGTTCATATGGTACTAACATGTCACTAATATATTTTGGTGCGAGGCCATGGAGAGACTTGTACACAAGCAGAGCTGTTTTAAAGTCTATTCTCTGAGCCACAGGAAGCCAGTGCAGAGACCTGAGGAACGGACTAATGTGGTCGTACTTCCTGGTTCTAGTCAGGACTCGAGCTGCTGCATTTTGAATATACTGCAGCTGTTTTACAGCCTGTTTGGACAGACCTGTGAGCAGGCCATTGCAGTAGTCTAACCTACTGGAGACAAATGCATGGATAAGAATCTCCAGGTCTGCTTTAGACACTATGTTTTTGATCCTGGCAATGTTTTTTAGATGGTAAAAAGCTGCTGATGTTACTGATTTGATGCGGCTATTAAAATGTAAGTCTGAGTCCAGTATTACCCCTAGATTTCTGACCTTGTTTGAAGGTTTTAGGGAGAGAGACTGTAGATGACAGATGACGCTCTCTCTTTGTTTCTGGGGACCAAAGACAATCATTTCAGTTTTGTCTGCGTTTAGCTGAAGGAAGTTGTTTTGCATCCACTCACTGATCTGTTGGATACAGTGAAGGAGTGAGTCCACTGGTCCATGTTCTCCTGCAGTCAGTGAGACATAGATCTGAGTGTCGTCTGCATAGTTGTGATAGGACACTTTGTTTCTGCGTATTAACTGACCTAACGGCAGCATGTAGAGATTGAACAGAAGAGGTCCCAGGATCGACCCCTGTGGGACTCCACAGGTCAGGGCCTTATGATCTGAGACACAGTCTCCAATCTCCACAAAGTACTTCCTACACACCCCAAACTCCACATTCAGACTTTAAATGTGAGTGGGCTGATGGGAAACAGCTCTATCTTACACATATGATTTTCCACAGAGCTGTTATGCTTCCAGTGCAAAGCCAAAACAAGTTGAGAATATATTTTTTGGCTGATTTGGACTGGAGGTTACGGAGCCACCTGTTCAAAGTGTGAGTTTTTTGATTTGTGAGTGTATAAGGAAACATACTTTAATTAGAAAGAAAGAAGTTCCAGCTAATCCACTTAGAAAGATAGTTTTAAAGCTGGAGTTTTGATCTTCATGAAAGCAGAAAGATCCAGTCATGAGCATGGCCTTTCTCTCCTAACTTTAAGTGAATTTTCTTACTCTGATCTTCTTCATATAGTTTAAAAGATCAAACTGTTATCGTCTGGTCTTTGTACGGACTTCAGAGGTTTAAGTGTTGCCTGGTCCTGGAACCTAAAGCTAGTGTACCTAACTTTCCCCGACCACAACAACATTTATTCACATCACTGTCTTTGTATAATAGTTCTGTATGAACCAACCGGGACTCTGAGGAGCACAGGGACGGTTCAAAACCTAGATCTAGGACTGAGGCTGTAGACCCAGGACTGAGGCTGTAGACCAAGGACTGAGGCTGTAGACCCAGGACTGAGGCTGTAGACCCAGGACTGAGGCTGTAGATCCAGGACTGAGGCTGTAGATCCAGGACTGAGGCTGTAGATCCAGGACTGAGGCTGTAGATCCAGGACTGAGGCTGTAGACCCAGGACTGAGGCTGTAGATCCAGGACTGAGGCTGTAGATCCAGGACTGAGACTGTAGATCCAGGACTGAGGCTGTAGACCCAGGACTGAGGCTGTAGACCCAGGACTGAGGCTGTAGTTAGAGACCTTTGCAGCTGCTGTTGTGATTTGGGATCAGCATTATTGGTCCACGATCACAAAAGTAGAGAGTGAGTTTTGGTGGTGACAGAAGGCT